TGCCTGATACATTCTATTACCATGAGTGAGAGCAAAGAATAGCGTAACAAGTACAAACACACACGCACGCACGCACGTACACACACGCGCATACACACACACTCGTGCGCACAGACACACACACACACACACACACACACACACACACACACACACACACACACACATATATATAATATATATACTGCATTTATTTGCTTTTTACTCCCACCAACAGCAAAACTAAGGCCTTCTCTGCGATCCGAAACTTCAATCTACCAAACTTCAAAACTCAAGAGAAACTGCGTCTCCCTCGAACTTTAAATTAAGAATTTACAGCCACTCACAATTTCTAATTTTTAGATGTTTACGCTCGGCGGGCAATTTATGTCATATCAATATTTGAACTTCGTTGTTTGCGACAAATGATGATAGAGTTTGTTTTCAGCGGAGCTTGTTCTGAAGACTGATACTTTGCATCAACAGAGTCGAGCGAGAGAGTTGGGGGGAAAAGAGAAAATGAGAGAATAATTAATTCAGTACATGGTCTTTCTAAACTCAATTAACAGGCTGGGTATCACGTACTTGCTGCAGAACTGCACTTTTATATTACACTCTTATCCCTCTCACACACTCTCTCTCTCTCTCCCTTTTCCTCTATTTTTTTCTCCTACTCACTCACTTATGCCCTCTCTCTCTTTCCCTCCCCCTTTTCTTCTGTTTTACTATCACACTCACTCACATCCTCTCTCTCTTTTTCCATCCCTTTCCCTACTCACTCTCTTTCTCCCACTCTCCCTCTCCCTTTTCCTTCATTTTTTCTCACACTCACTCATACCCGCTCCCTCTACCTTTACCCTTTTCACTCTCCTCCCCAGTCTCACTCCCTTTTCCTCTATTTTCCTCCCTCACTCATGCCCTCGCCATCTCCCTTTCCCTTTTCTTTCCCTTTCAATCGCACTGTCTACACCGTTCTCCCCCTCTTTTAATACGCTAAATCCCCGACTTCCCCCGTTTTCATCTCCTTATATGTATTTGGCTCTTTATGATTTTTGGTCGCTTGCCTCCCCCATTCTTTACCTCCCTTGCTTCCCCCTGCTTCTACACCGCATCTTTCATATTGCTGCTGTTATTTCTGACGTTTTACTCTTTTAATGTCATAGTACAAGTCACAAGGAGCTTCAGTAGTTAATATGACTAAAAACACATTACTGCACCGAGAGACAATCGCGTGATGATTCATACACGATCGAAGCAAGACGCGGAATTTGAGTTCTTGCTTGATTTCAGAAGGACCAGATTTTGTGCTTTTCTTCGTATTGTCGGAGTTTTTAAGTCGTTACTATAAACGTAAAACTATTTATCATAAAAAGTGAATTGGTGAGTAAACATTTTTCACCTGCAACGCAAGAAAAATTTAATTCAAGATTATAAAGAATACATAATGGAACCATAACCACTGATGAACTCACCCCATACTACTACAGCTTCCATGAAAGGGACAAGGACTTCTACTGACGTAGACAGGATTAAGTTCCGCAAGCTCTACTTCTTGGTTCTTGGGAGAAAGCTCATTTCCCGCAGAGGAAAACTAAAGTTTGTGATTACAGTTCTGAGCGTCCTTAGGCAGGGATGTTACCGGCTGAAGCAGTGAGCCGGCTACTTGGCATTCATACATCGGATATATCGCCTTCTGCCATGCTAGAAGGAATGTAAACTGAACGGGTGATTAATTTCCCTACTGATTCACAATGTGTTCTTCTGGTCACTTCATTGTTCTTCTGGTCATTTCAATATGTTCTTCTGGTCATTTCAGTGTGTTCTTCTGGCCATTCCAGTGTGTTCTCGTCATTTGAATGTGTTATTCTGGTCACTTCAAAGTGTTCTTTCGGCCTTTAAGGTGTATTTCCGACTACCGTAGTTTTTTTTGGCCATTTCACGTTGCTTCACCGACTAATTTACCTATTTTTATAAGGCCTGGTGTGATCAAGCCCCGCAAATGCCAAACCGTTGTCATCTCGTATGAGATTCTAGCATATTATCCGCGATGCTTGAACTACCCTACTATTCACAAGATTAAGACGAGGCGCAATTGTTACTGTGCATCGGAAATTAGATGGAGAGCGCAGTATGGGCGCAGTAATAGTACCTGAGAACACACTCGTAATGATGGAGCATTCACAACGTTCCAAACCATCTCTCTCTTTTTTTCATTCACATTCTCTCTCTTCTCTGTTTCTCTATCTCTCCTCCTCTTCTCTCTCCTCTCCGCGCTGTCAATATGTGTACGCATGCATCCCTCCCTCCCTCCCTTTGCCTCCCCCAAGCATCCTTACCTGGTTGAATTAGCCGCACATCGAGGATCTTATCGACCTGGGAGTTGTAAGCGGTGATATGGAAGACGCACTCCGGGGTGTCCTGGATGCACGTGATGTTGACCGGCACCAGATCCTCGGACACTTGCTGCCACTTGACTGTTCCGGCTCCTGACGATGACACGTGGAACACTTCCGCCCAGAGCCTGCGGGGGACACGTGGGTGTGAGTGCGGGTGGAAAGGGTAGGTTGAGGTGAGGTGGTGTGTGTGTGTGTGTGTGTGTGTGTGTGTTGTGTGTGTGTGTGTGTGTGTGTGTGTGTGTGTGTGTTGTGTGTTGTGTGTGTGTGTGTGTGTGTGTGTGTGTGTGAGATACGTATACAAACATTATTCATTATGTATATATTACGTACAATTCAAGCATGTACATGCATATGTGTGTATGTATGCATATATGTATGACTGCGACTATATTAGAATTCCCAGCATACATTTCTGTTGCTGTGAACCAGTGCCAGACACTAAAGATAAACAGAAATTTGAATTCAAATATAGCAGGCTAGTTGCTCTGATAATTTGCCAATGCCACCAAATATTATTCAAATTAATAGTACAAAGTCCTTTAAAAATGGGGTTTCAGATATTTCCAAGCCAGTACCATGACCCCAATGGATTTATACAAGAAAATAATATGGAATAATGCTGCAAAAGCCTAAATAGCGCCAAATGCAGTCCTAGCATTTGATAAAGGAAAGATGATAACACTGCCATATAAAAGCCAAATTACTTAGAGTAGAAAATGAAAGATAAGTATAAAAAAAAAATAAATCAAGAAACCCCGAGTTACATAATCACAAAAGATTTTTCATTAATGCGAAAGAATTTTTTCATTTTTAAATCGTGCCACGTTAAAACCGAACAAGCACGCGCTCCGCTCCAAAATCGCTTCAACAATAACAGTCAATTAATAGCAGAAAACGCCAGGGAGAACCACCAATTAGCGCCAATTTTCACAACGCGAAGTTTACGGAACTGGTAAAATAATTTATGTCAACGGTAATAATGGCAGAGTAAAACGTTTACAGTCACAAAACGTGTTTCATTTTTCTTTTCACTTTAACTCACTAAAATCTTTAATATCGACGGTCGAATGCTGGGAAAACGTAATAAATAATACGAGTGGAGAACAACAATTCTTCATTATTTGAGAGTTTGTAATCTAAGTTTGTCAGACAATCAGGAGAGAGAGAGAGAGAGAGGGCGTAGGGATAGGGGAGGGAGAGAGATAGGGAGAGGGAGAGCGAAGAGACGGAGAGAGGGAAAGAGGGAATGGGGTGAGAAAGAGAGAGATAGAGAGGAAGAGGTTGAAAGAGAAGGAAAATGTGAAGATGGGAAAGAAAACAAAAAGGAAAAGGAGAAAGAGAGAGAGAAAGAGAGAGAAAGAGAGAGAGAGAAAGAGAGAAGAGAGAAAGAGAGAAGAGAGAGAGAGAGAGAGAGAGAGAGAGAGAGAGAGAGAGAGAGTGAGAGAGAGAGGAGAGAGAAGATGGGAGAGAGAAGAAGATAAGAGTGGAGGAGAGACAAAGAGAAGACAAAAACATAACGAGACCTAAGACCTAAAAGCAGAATGCCCACCTCTCGCCCCAAGTACGGTATCAGGTGGTATGGAAGGCTGAATTCACCCTCTCAGCGGATATGTTAATTTCCTTCCGCTTCAGCCGAGGTGATGCATTAAGCTCGAAGGGACCAGGGGATTAATATATAGGTGAGGGGGGGAGGGACTAAGGGGTGATGGAGGAGGGGCTGGGGGATGGGAGGAGGGACTAAGAGAGGAGGAGGAGGAGGGGCTATGGAGATGGGGAGGAGGGACTAAGGGATGTGGAGGAGGGGCTAGGGGATGGAGAGGATGGACTAAAGGAGATGGGAAGAAGGAGCAAGAGGATGTGGAGGAAGCTAGGGAATTGGTAGGAGGGACTAGGGAATGGGGAGACTAAGGGAGGGGTAAGAGGGGCTTGGGGATGGGGAGGAGGAACTAAGGGAGGCGGAGGAAGAGCTAGAGGATGGGGGGAGGGAGTAAGGGAAGTGGAGGAGGGGCTAGGGAACTGGGAGGAGCAGGTACGGGATGGGGAGGAGAGACAAGGGGATGAGGGGGAGGAACTAGGAGATTGGTAGAAAGGACTAAGGGAGGGTTAATTTAGTATAGTATTCAACTAATAATAACGAAAAAAATATAATAGCAAGGGGATTCTAGATGATTCTCACTTATATCATGAATAATAAAATATTAGTAATGATATTATACTTATAATGGTAATAATAATTGCATTACTTATAACAAAAACAGCAGCACAACAACAATGGTGATGTGATGATGATGATGATTGATGATGATGATGATGATGATGATGATGATGATAATGATGATGATGATGATGATGATGATGTTGATGATGATGGTGATGATGATGATAAGGTTAATAATAATATTTGTAATCATAGTAATAGTAACAGTTATAATAACAATAACAACAACAATAATAATAATATGATAATGATAATATAAAATAATAATAATAATATTCATAATTAATAATAATAATAATGCTAAAAACAATAACAAAACAAAACAGCATTAATAATAATAACAATAATAGCTGAATATTAATCAAACTAATATAATTCCAAGAAATAAAAACGATCCAAGATATGATGATACAAAATGCAAAATCCAAGATACAAGACAGGAATAACAAATCAATGCAAGACATCTGATACGGCATCAAAGACACGACAGAGTGTGGCAGAAGAAACACGTTCGCATTGATAGACTGAAGGACCGGATTATTATTATCTCTGCCATGAGACTCTCCATCACACACTAGCCCTGATATCCGATAAGGAATATATTTTCTTTTTGAGTAATGAAATGCAAGGTTTTATTGAGGTTATTCAAAAAGGATGGTGCGCTTGGGTCTTTTACTTTTCTTTGCATGCTGCTTGTTCCCTTTGTGTGGTTGTGTATGTAAACAATTCGGCTGAGGCATTTGTACCGACCAACGGTAAGCATACTAAAACAAATGAACCCACCCGAAAATTCAATAAAACGCGCCGAAATAAAACAGGCCAACGATATTCACTTCTACCCTTAAGATATTCTACCCACGACTTCCCCAAGGCCAAAGAACTGTCAACAACTGCGTGTCCTTCTCTCTTTTTCTTTATCTCGAAGCAAAAAGATTCGTGGCACCGTCTGCACCTCCTCGCCGCTGTCTCCTACGCCCTCCCCTCCCCTCCCCCCCCCTCCTTCTCCTCCTCCTCTCCACTTGAGGAAAAATCGTTCCACTGAGATAAAACCTTGAGCGGCTGCCACTCCTCTCTCTCCAATATTTCTCCGCGGAGCCTTTGAATTGAAAAACTTTTTGGGTGGACGGAGCATCTGGGCCGAACGGAGCTCCAGACGGAGAGTATCCCCACTTCCCGACCACAGAAAAAACGGGAATCAATGAAAGAGAATCTTCAAGGTGGACTTAATGTAACGGGGAAAATCGGAGGAAAGGCTTAAAGTGTTTAGTGATCTACTGAGTGTATTGTGTGTGCGCAACGGTAGATGGAGGGAGTCAAGGTATGGAGTAAAGGGATGGAAAGACATGAAAAACAAAAATAGAAATGTATGGATAGAAAAATAAAAACTGATAAAGAAATAAAAAGAGAGATAGATCAATGGCTAGAGCATGAAACAGGCAGATAGACAAACAGATGAATATATATGAACATATACATACATATATATACATAAATTCTCTCTCTCTCTCTCTCTCTCTCTCTCTCTCTCTCTCTCTCTCTATATATTATATATATAAATATATATATATAATATATATATATATATATATATATATATATATATATATAGTATATATATTATATAGATAGAGAGAAAGAGAGAGAGAGAGAAAGAGAGAGAGAGAGAGAGAGAGAGAGAGAGAGAGAGAGAGAGAGAGAGAGAGAGAGAGAGAGAGAGAGAGAGAGAGAGAGAGAGAGAGAGAGAGAGAGAGAGAGAGAGAGAGAGAGAGGAGAGAGAGAGAGAGGAGAGAGAGAGAGAGAGAGAGAGAGAGAGAGAGAGAGAGAAGAGAGAGGGAGGGAAGGGAGGGAGGGAGGGAGGGAGAGGGAGGGAGGGAGGGAGGAGAGGGAGGGAAGGAGAGAGAGAGAGAGAGAGAGAGAGAGAGAGAGAGGAGAGAGAGAGCAGGAGAGGAGAGAAGGGAGGAAGAGAGGGAGAGAGAGAGAAGGATGGAGGGAGGGAGAGGGAGGGAGGGAGAGGGAGAGGGAGGAGGGAGGGGAGGGGAGAGGCGTGAGGGAGAGGAGAAGAAGGGGTGAGGAGCAGAGAGCGAGGGAAGGGGAAGGGAGAGAGAGAGAGAGAGAGAAGAGAGGAGGAGAGAGGAGGAGACGAGAAGAGAGAAGAGAGAGAGAGAGAGAGGAAGATGAGGAAGATTGAGAGCCGAGAGAGGTGGGGGGTAGGGGGGGGGGGAGGGGGGGAAAAGGAGGGCGGGGGGGGGGGGGGTCGGGGGGGGGGGGGTGGGGCGGGGGGGGAGGGGGAGAAGGGGGGGAGAGGAGAGAGAGGGAGAGAGAGAGAAGGAAGGAAGGAAGGAAGGGGAGGAGAGGGAGGGTGAGAGGGGGAGAGGAGGATAGGAGAGGAGAACTAAGAGAGAGAGGTGAGAGGAGTAGGGAGGGGTTCAGAGCGAGTAGAGTAGAGAGAGCGAGCGGGCGAAGCGAGCGATGGAGAGTAGAGTGAGAGAGAGAATAGAGATGATGAGGAGATAGGACGAGGAGGAGAGGCAAGAGAAGAGGAGAGATGGAGAGAGAGGAGGAGAGAGAGAGAGATGGACGAGAGAGGAGGAAAGGAGACGGCGTGCGCGGATGCGGGTGGGTGAGGAGAGTAGAGGGCAGGTTTAAGCACCGTCGATTAGTGAGCGCGGTGGTCACATATGAGTCTGGGCGGTCCTGTCGATGGGGAGAAGGCGAGAGGCGCAACGAGTTAGAAAGGGCGTAGCGGGGAGGTGGTGAGGGGAGGGAGGGAAGGCATCGGTGAGGGGGCGTGGCGTGGGTTAGGGGCGGCGTCGGAAGGGAAAGTGTCATACCGATGCTGGAGGGAGGGAGGAACGCAGAGTCTGGATGGATAGGTTATGGGGCGGAGAGAGAGGGGGCAGCCTAGGA